ATTTCTTACTTTACGAAGGGTCATGTGTTCTTATAACATTTAATGTGTTCTTATTCTTTTTAAAACATATGTAATAATGAACATGAGGATTTCTTTTATGAAAAGAGAGCAAATAATTTTGTATAAAGCACAAGTAATTTTTTATTTAAATTTTATTTTTTCTTTTTCTTGTATATTAGTGGAACCGGAATATAATATGTGAATACGGGAATTTATGTATGCCGTGTTTTAAATATAAAAAAAAAAAAAATGAATGTGCGCTAGTGTATTAGTATACAAACAGCTGAATTTTCACTATATATTTTTTTCTTTTGTATTGAAAAATGAAAAATATGTAATAAATGTATTTATACCTAAAATAGGAAAAGAGTTATATTAAGCCATTTATAAATATTAATTGTACACCATGTTTGCAGCTGTTCTTGTGTTCACAATTGTTTAAATGCGCTTTAGAATTTAGGGCTTTTTTTCTTTATAATGAAAACCATTATAAATATATGGGTACATATACATTAAGCTAATATTACATGCATACAACTCCTTGTGTACAGGTGATTAATATTTTAATATTAGGTGACTAAATTATCCTAAATGATAGTCTGCGCAATCATTATATTACACAAATAGGTAGAAAGATATTTCTCGTTGCATATACTGTATGGCGAAGCATAAAGTTTAAATCTAACGTATGAAGTTTCTTATGGAGTATTCTACACGTCCTTAATAATAAGGAAGTTGTAGGGTGATGCAGTTTTCGCAAAGCACTTACTTCCCCTAAAGGAGAGCAAGGGAAAGAAAAGAAAAAGGGGGAAGTAGCGTTACATAAGGATGTATAGGTTCATGAACCCTTTGACAAAACGAGAAGCGAATAGGAGACACAAATATAAGGACAGTAACTCATTATGAATACCCCTGAATAGATAAGAATAAGCTGTTCTAATCATGTGTCCCTATGTTCGTTCCTGTATCCCCCCTCTGCTGCTTTCTTCCCCTAAAAGCGTCTCAAATGTTGTGCAATAGATCATCCACGTACAACTAGTTAACCATAAATTCGGTACATCTTACACTCGTCTACACTCATACCCGTTGCGCTACCGCTCCCGTGGTCGCCGCCGCCGCACACACAGACGTGGTCTACACTACCCGCCGCTACGGCTACCGTGGTGGCCGCTGTGCTCGGCTCAACCAAAGTGGGGCAGCGACGGGGAAGCGATGTGTGCTGTGTTGTTCCCCCCCGCGTGTGCGTGCGTTGTGGTGCCGGCATCCATATTGGGCGGATGCGGGCCGTTGGCATGCGTATTCGGCCGTATGTTTACCTTTCAATTTTTCAATTTCCCGTTCTACTGCTTCCTTCGCTTTCTCAAACACCTTTTCTGCTGTCTGTACTATTTCTTTGTCCAGTCTCTTCTTTTCGTTCTGTCCTGCTTCGGTCAAAATTTTATTTATATCTGGCTCGCGTTCTTCTGCCTGGTTATTAGTATACTTGTCCCAATACTGCTCACACGGCCATTCCTTCTCCATTGCCTGTATTTCTCCCAATATTCCTCCTTCCTGCATTAGCCAGTATGCAATTTTCAAATCTACTGCTTCCACGTTCTTCCTGTTACCTACATATCCACACATTGTGCACCTTCCGTCCATAACAGGGCCCCGCACTGCACCAGGCTTACCGGATTCTCCGCTCTTCATATCCCTGAATGTTGGCCAAGCATACTCTATACCTCTTGGCCATGGTGCCGTATCTTTGCAATACCTAGTTTTCAGTAAGTGCCCCAAAACATGGGCCACCTCACATCTTAACCTATTGGTCTGTTCATCACTTGTGTCTTGGTTCGCAAAGAATAATGCACCCGACATGATTCTGCACCTCATCATATCTGCCACTCTCTGTCCCTTATGGTATGCAGTGTGTGTCAGATCATTCCAACCTATATTATTACAGTTGGCACCAAGTGCGTCAAAGGTATCATTATGGTCTTTCAAATATTCAATAAACTGCTCCAACACGTCCTGCACGCGTGTCCATTGAGCATCCTACATTTTGCGCAGGAGGACATATAAGTATGGATGTGGACGTGTCATCACCATTCTACCCTGCGGAACCATGTACACCCTGTCATATATTTATATATCGTATGGATTAATTCTCCCTCCCCTTTCATTATTCCTGTTCATCGTTATTTTCAATTCCCCGCACATGCTACTGTAACTTACACTATATGGAAGCACCACATATTTTTCCGAAGGCCTCCACTCCAATATTGTCTCCCCTTGACACTTCGCTGCTCCGGCCTTCTTCCCCTGCCCGCCTCCGGTACTACCAGCAGCAGGACGAGCCTTACCACCACTACCACTACTACCACTACCACCACCAGATGATGTCGTCGTCATGCCACTGCCCGATGTCGTCTTCGTTATCACCGGTTTTGTTACCACCGGTTTCGCCGCTACTGGTTTGGCAGCGGTGGCAGGTTTGTTCGGCTTGGCCGGGGCGGGTTTGGAGGCGTCGCTGTTCGAACCGGATTGATCGGTGATTTTCGTCGTCACTGACTGCGTCGGCTGCTTCGGTAGTGTCGGTGCCTCCTGCGGTGGTTTCGGCCGTGGTCGTGGTCTTGGTGTGCGTCCTGGTCCTGTTCCAGGACGTGGTGACCGTGTGCGACAATCCCCAATCGCTGCGTTGGAACTTCCTTTCTGTGGTGGTTGTCCCCCTGTGACTCCTACACCAACTGCCCTGACCCCTGTTTGTATCCTGGTTCTTATTCTTTCCTCCATTGTACACCTTGCATGCGACTTCCAACGTGCGCTTATTACTGTCTTAAGATACGTTGTCAACTGCGTTTTGGCGACATCCATTAATTCCATTATTTCCTGCTCATCCTGCTTTCCTTCCTTGGCCCTTTTTTTACAACTCTCAGTATTCTGCTGCTCTTCCTCCATCTGCACTGCGTGCGGCCACGTACATTTGCCCGATGTTCTGTCTGGACTTCTTCCTCCTCGTACCCAATGCTTCCCTAACTCCTTCAAGCGGTTCCTTATGCTTTGCCTCATAATTCCTGATCCGAATATGTATTTCCCATAATCCTGCCCTTCACATATCCCGTCCGCATATTTCTGTGTCCACACTGTACCTCCATTTCTTAATGTGTCCGAAATTTCCTGAATAATTTGCAGATGTTCCTCACTTCGACCATACAGCTCCATTATAGCTTCTTTCGCTAATATACACTTTAAATATTTCTTGAAGCCCTCTGCGGACCGCGTTTCCACGGCGCTCTTTGTCCAGTGCTGTGCTCCATATTCATACCCCCTCATGTATAGTAAAAGACTTACAATTGCTGGACATCTTCTTAAGCATGTTTTCGTGTCCGCGTCGAAGTATAGTTCCCCACAAATGGTACTGTTAGCAAGGTTACTCTCACCAATCACACGAGTTAGGGCATCGAAGATATTATTAACCTCAGTATATAACAAGTCCTGCAGGTGCAATACATTCCATACAGGTATGAATAATTCCTTTGTCTCCTTCCTGCTTCATTATATTATATGGATTACTACTGTCCACCTAGACCATCGTATTTTGTGCGTGCAGCATTCGCCTACGCAACACTAGTTCTATTCCACGATATTCACATACGTAGTTCACTTATACACATAGGTCCTAGACCTAAATATACATATATATATAAACCGTTAAATGTGACACGCCTTTATTGTAACTTCCTCATTAACTCAACTCACCCAATACGCGGTCGGATTCTTTATTTTGGCGTTCCATACAAATTTTGTCCACGCATCCACAAAGTCTAGCTCCGACGTTGACGCAGTCTGCATAATATACAACTACTTATTCCCTTCTTAAAAAAAAAAAGTCCGACTACTACTACTACTACTAGCGCGTTCATTAACAACAACAACAAATACATACACACGTCCCGTTCTCCGTCAACGCCTTTTCCGTCAACGCTTCTCCGTCAACGCCTCTTCCGTCACCCCGTCTCCGGGTCACACCTTCTCCGTCAACGCCGTCTCTCCGTCAACGCCTCTTGCGTGAACGCCGTCGCCGGCACCCGGGCCCCGTGAACGCATCTCCCCTCAACGCGTCTCGCGGCAAGGCTTGTGCGTGCGGCTGGCGCCGTCTTCCTGCTGTCAAAGAAAGGGGGGAAAAAAGTACACTACGCTACCTACACACGCAACGCGTCATGAATATACACCCCCCGCTTCTCCACTAAACGCCTTTACACACTGTCTCTGGGTACACTAATCTAACCACGTCAATTTGACCTCCTCGCCGCGTCCTCGTAAACGGATTGTCTGCGAGTGTAAGACGGATTCGACGAAGTAGCCGCGCAAACGTGGCCGAGTGTAAGAAGGAGGAACAGATTGTCTCTCCGAGCAAACGTGGCCGGGTAAACGGATCGGTCCGCGTGTAAGAAGGAACGAGGATTGTCTCTCCGAGCAAACGCGTCGACCAAAGCGGCTCGAGTGCCAGACCGATTCGACGAAGTAGCCGAGTGTAAGAACGATTCGACGAAGTAGCCGAGTAAGCATTGTGCCGAGTGTCAGAAGGTACACATTGTCTCTCCGAGCGAACGCAGCGGGGTACACGGGATTGTCGACGCGGCAGCCGGGTGTAAGAAGCAGCAGGATTGTCTCTCCGAGCAAACGTGGCCTGGTAAGAAGCATTCGACGAAGTAGTCGAGTGTAACAACGGCGGGAGACATTGTCTCTCCGAGCACACGCGTCGACCAAAGCGGCCAAGTGCAAGACCGATTCGACGAGGTAGCCGACGAAGGATTGTCCGAGTGTAAGAAGGAGGAGGATTGTCTCTCCGAGCAAACTCGGCCGCGTAAACCGCATTGTAGCCGAGTGTAACAAGGAGGAGACATTGTCCGTCCGAGCAAACGCGGCTGGGTAAACGGATTGTCCGCGTGCAAGACCGATTCGACGAAGTAGCCGAGTGTAAGAAGGAGGACATTGTCTCCGACTAAAGCGGTTCGAGTGAAGGGGTTCGAGGGACGCATTCGAGTAAGCGTTTCGCGGGACGGATTCGAGTGAGGGGGATCACAGAGAGCGGGATCGCACACAGCGGGAGAGGAGAAGGAATACACATATTATGTGCGGGAGCAACAACGACGGAAGCAGGGCGGCAACGACGGCAGAAGAAATTGATGTTGTTGTTGTTACTGCGGTTTTTAGGTGTACGCACACAGCGACACAGTGTGTGTGAAGGGGTTTAGTGGAGACCGGTGTAGCAACGGGGGCAGGCGGGATATTCATGACGCGTTGTGCGCGTAGTCGTAGTGCAGTAGTACATTTTTTTTTCCTTCATTTTCTCTTTTTTTTTGGTTTCTTTTTTATTGTTTTTCCATTCAATTTTTAGAAGTGAGGATAAGTGTATTTTCGAAGGATCGGAGCATGTTCGAACGAACCAAGTTGTTTGTATAAGAAAATAGTGAAGGATCAATATTCCTTTGCTCCTGTAAGAGAACGAGGGGGACGACATTCGATTCATTGCAATACTTGTCCCAAACAATTCCTATGGTTGGTTAGTGGAGTGGGAAATGTATAATGAGAACGGTTCATATAGTACATGGGCGTACACACTACTATAGCACATACAAGCTAAGAACACTAAAAATTTTTAATGTGGGGATAAGGGCAGGAATATATGTGTATCCTGTGCACATGACTTATAAGTCACATAATGAATGCATATTATGGATAGTGAATTGAAAGTACATGTACTAATATAATGGCGAGGCGTCTGAAGGATGCACTGGCGAAATGGGTAAAAGACAGGAGAATATGGACAACGGAACAGTTCGAAGTAGGTTTTAAATTTTAGGAACGAGATTAGTAAAGGAAAAATGGGGAGATAGTGAGGAGTTCACACAGGTACATGTATATTGAATGGAAGACTACATTAGAAGAAAGATATAAGGCACTTGAGCACAATGTCACATATTAATCGCTTCTTTCCCTTTATATATATTGTAGAGCAAATTATGGGCAGATATGCAACGTGTATTAAACGATTTTGTGGAACAGATGGAAACGATAGAGGATACCTTAGAACTGTATGCCACAAGCTGTGAGGATGAAGGTTGGGTACGTAGAGGACGCGAGGAACACGGACCAATATATAAAGATCATTACGTTGGGGATGTAATGAAATGCAGACTGATGGTTGGAGCATTATATTTTGTAAATGAGTGGAGCAATCATAAGAAGAATGATAAGGAGACATCGGAGAACGATACGGCCATGAAGGCTATTATGAGGTGCCTCGTGGCCAATGTTTTTGCGTATATATTGGCTGAAATAAAGTGTCAATTTGAATGGACTGGAATAGACCAGGCCTGGTACATTATGCAAGGCATGGGAGGAACGGGTGGCTTCGTGAATCCAATTTCAAGTGGCACATGTGCGCTGGATGCGTATAAGGATACTACCATAGGCACAGGGAACTTACAGGAAGCGGTAAAAAAATGGTTACAGCAAAGTACAAAGATACGTGATAGTATACAAGCAATAGAGCACAACCCGCAATGCAACAAAAAATGGGCAGCATACAAGAAAGACATGGAACAGAGCGGAAACGATGCATTAGCACGAACCACAGGCACAGTGGGTCAAGGGGCAGGTGTCATCGGTAGTGGTGGCATTGCGAATGAAATAGTGAACGTGGTAAAGGAAGTATTCGAAGAGATGAAGGACGACGTAATACAAAACTCCAAGTCACCGCCAAAGCCAGAAGTAGTTTCTACGGGCAGTGACAACAAAGAGAACGGTAAACAGCAGGATAAAAAAGAGAAGAAGCAGAGAAAAAGAGGAATTCTACAAAACAGGAGAACGAATACGACAAGGGGCAAAAGAAAGAAAAGAAAAAAAAAAAACAAAAATGTGCAACGAAGGAAGCAGAACATGTCCAGTTCTGCATCCGTCCAAGAATGCCCAAAGCACATACTGACACTTCTAATTCTTATTTCTTCCTTTATTGCAGCGCAGGATGACCAAAACGGGGAGGCCGCCACGACGACTACTGTGCCGGCTGCAACAACAGGATCGACAGGTAAGGAGCGATGGGAGAAAGCACGAATACGACACGAAACAATACGAATACACGGCACGCATGTGGACCGCACGAATATGGATGCCTCCACAAACGCAACGGCCACAACACGCACACGCGGGGGGGAACAGCACGGCGCAGTTCCCTAGTTGAGCCCAGATGTGCGGCGACGACGGCAGCGACAGCGGTAGCGGAGCGGCCGGAGATGAGTGGCCACGGCAGCGGTAGCGGCGGTGAGGCCCGAGATGACGACGGCGACAAATATAAGTGTACTGCTACCATGTATCCACCTCACCGTATGCTTGCTACCGCCTCACCCATTTCACCGAGTACGCAGTCCACCGAGTCCATCTCGATCCATGCAGCCGACCGTACCCTGCCGCCACCTTACCGAACAACACCACACCGTCCCTGCCCTTCTTTCTGTACCACTTTGTGTCCCTTTTTTTGTTTATCATCTTTCTACCTTCCTTTCTTGCTTCCGTCATTGCAGCAAAGGACAAGGACAAGAAGAAAGAAGCTCCGCCGGCTAAAGTTCCTGTGGCACCACCGAAGAAACCCGCCCACCAACCTATTTCGCCGGGTGCGAAGGCCACCGACAAACCCGGCGGAGGAGCCGCGCCCGCCCATGCCAACCCAGACACGAAGGCCCAACCAGTAGCGGCTAAACCGGTGGTAACGACGACGACATCGTGTAATGGTGGTGGTGGTGCAGGAGTGAAGCAACGAGTGGACACTGCCAAACCCGGGGAATGTCAAGGGGAGAGGTTATCCCAGTGGAGGCCTCGCACAGTGCACGTGATACCCAACTATAGAGTAAGTTAGCGTGAGAGCAGCAAAGAAGGGGAACACAGACGACATAGATGCAAAGGGAATTTATTTATGCGTTTCCATGTATATATGTGCGGGTGTACGTGCTTCGGAGGGGTACAACGTAGGTAAAACGTGTACATAACTATTTCCTTATTCTCACATACATAATACAGAAACGCGAACTGGAAAAATTAAGGGATGTTTTTGATTATTTTAAGCAATATATGCATGCAAACAAAGACCACAATGAAGCATATGGTGTAAACTGCTATAATACGCGTTGGGATGACATAACGAAACCTGGGGTTCATTTCGAGGATCAAACAGTAGCAGATGTCGTAAGGTGCAGAGTTATGACTCTTGCACTGGGCTGGGTAAATGGCTGGAACAACAGTAAACAGGACAAACATAAACAGCACAAGAACCAGACAGAGAAGGAAATGGAAGAGAGGCTACGGTGTGAAGTAGCAAATATATTTGGACATCTACTGCGAGCAAACTATTGTCCGAACCAGGAACTGTGGAGAAGAGGTGTAGAGTATTCCCGGATAGCATTCAGGAATATGCATGGCAAGGGAAAAGATGGAATTGGAGGAATCGGGGGTCCAGTGGTGGACGGCAGGTGTACTGCGTGTGGGTATGGACATAATAAACAGCATGTAGACGCAGTAAATCTGGAGATAGTGAACTGGTTATTGCAGCAAGGGAAAGTCTTGGATGGAATAGAGACAATAGAAGAGAAGCGGTTCTGTAACACGAAGTGGGCAGTTTATACAAAAGACAACATGAAGGAGTATGATACGACACGGGTGGACGAAGAGAAAATCAATGATATAAAAGAAGTGGAGAAGAACGTAGTGGACGCAGCAACAAAGGCAATTGAGAAAGCGAAGGACGCAGTAGGAAAGAAAATAACAGAACTGAACGAAGGTAAGCACTGGAATATACGACCGACTGTACACCGTACGAATACTAGGGATGCCGCCGCCAACAACAACATGCACACAGGAGCAACAGACGGCCACAAACACGCACACGGCGACAACAGCACAACAGCGGTGCTCAACAGCGCTTCTCTTGAGTGCCCCACTTCGGTTGAGCGATGAGCGATAGCGGGCACGACGGAAGTGGTAATGGCATGAGGATGAGTGTAGAATGTACCGAATTTATGATATCAGGGGATTATATGTCGATAGTTTGTTAGAAAACTTTAGAGAAGCTCTAGGCAAGAAGGCTGGGGTATATAGCAATGGAGATAGTGGCACACATGATAAGAACAGCTTATTCTTATCTATTCAGTGCTATGCATAATGCGTTACTATCCTTATATCTGTGTTTCCTATTCATTTCTCTTTTTGTCAAAGGGTTCATGAACCTATACATCCTTATGTAATGCTTCGTTCTCCTTTTTCTTTTCTTTCCCTTGCTCTCCTTTAGGGGAAGTAAGTGCTTTGCGAAACCTGCATTACGCTATAACTTCCTTATTATTACGGAAGTATAGAAAGCTCTATACAAAACTTCATACGCTAGATTTAAACTTTATGCTTCGCCATACAGTATATGCAACGAGAAACATCTTTCTACCTATTTGTGTAATATAATGATTGCGCAGACTACCATTTAGGATAATTCAGTCACATAATATTAAAATATTAAATATTTGTACACAAGAGTGTATACATATAATATTAGCTTAATGTATATGTACCCATATATTTATAATGGTTTTCATTATAAAGAAAAAAAGCCCTAAATTCTAAAGCGCATTTAAACAATTGTGAACACAAGAACAGCTGCAAACATGGTGTACAATTAATATTTATGCATGGCTTAAAATAACCCTTGTCCTTTTAGGCATAAATGCATTAGATATTTTTCATTTTTCAATACAAAAGAAAAAAATATATAGTGAAAATAAAGCTGTTTGTATACTAATACACTAGCGCACATTCATTTTTTTTTTTTTTTTTAAATAACACACCGCATATATAAACTTCTTCACTGTTATATTATTGCGGCTGCCATAATAAAAAATGCAACTATTTCTTTTGTTTAGTCAATTTTTTTAGGTAACTTCTTTTTTTATTCTATTTCGTTCTTCTTATGGCCTCTCTAAATTATTCAATAATTAGGGAGTAAAAGTGCTAATTTCCTTTTTTTTCTATAATAAGCATTTTAATGTAAAGTACAATAACCAAAAAAAAAAACAAAAAAAAAGAGGTGGCAGTTCATATATATTACACTTTCAATAGTTTGCTTATGCAAATGTTAGAGCCTGTTTATTTTAATTTTTTGGTAATGTTTTTAAAGAGTATGTTTTTAAGAAATTCGCTATTATTCATATATTTATATTTTATAAAAAAACGAATCTTCTTTGTTTTTATGTTTTAAAAGTAAGCAACTTCCTTCCTGAGAACTCTACTATTTTGAAACACCGCAAAATAAATAGTACTGCCTGAAAAGGAATGGTTGCATAAACATTTATATATGTATATTGTTGCATCATCATATGTAATGCCTTTTGCCCTTGTACAAAATGTAATTTTTATATACGAAGAACATATATATATATATTTTTTACACATCACAAAGAGTATTATATGTAAAAAAGGAGGTAAACCGTACTGTACTTCGTGCATTTTTCTTAAATATAACCATCCATAACAACATGGCACATGCTAACATAAAAACAACATCGACAAGTTTTTTTTTACAAGGAACATTGAAATCCCAAAGTAATAATGGCAGCCGCCCCATCAAAGCATGTTCAGGAGCTAATGAAGCAGCCGAAAGTCGTGGAAAAAAAGCACACAGAAACTTCTTGTCCAAAACAGCGGCTATCCTGTTTGTTGGTTCTGCGTATATCTTTTTAAAAGTAAATCTATCAAAAACAGGGGGCAAGTGTATGATCGTACAGATGTGCGTAGATACTGGAAAGTTGTACATTTTCCTATATATGCCACATGTATCGCATATATACTACTGTATGTATATTTATTGCTTCCCCCCCTCCATCCCTCGTTCACTGCTATTTCTTACATTGCCATTCTGTTGTTAACTCATGAACGCACACGCACACCCTTTATCTCGTGCCTTCATTTGCAGCACCAGGATGACCTCCAGAGACAGCATGTCGCTTCTTCTACATTACAAGGAAATAGAAATGTTACTAGAAATTTAGCCACGACAATAGAAGCAGCAACTCCATCACAAGATAAGTTTCAACTAGAAGATATTGATTGGGTACAAAGTGAAGATAACGGACAAGACGTTCCTGCAGGAGAAACACAAGGAATAGGATATTTAGAAGGCGAGGACGAGGTACAACAGGAAGTTTATTCTGATGAAGACTGGGAAGAAACAGAGGATGAAGAACAAGCTGTTGCAGACGAAGGAGAATCGGAAGGAGAAACGACAGGGGTTCGCAAAAACGGAAGTGACAAACCGACAAGTAGCAGTACGAACAAGCGCAAAAGTGTGAATAAACACCAGGACAAAATCGTGACGAAGAAAGAAGCCACCAATTATTACAGTGTAAAAAACAAGGAAGATTTAAAACATTCAAGGCTGAATGGGAATGAAGCAGAAAAGGCGAAGAATAAGGAAAGGGAGTCCATTAATAATAACCTTTCTGTAGAAAATGCACTTAAACAGTCCAAGAGGGATGAGAAGGAGAAAGAAAGTGGAGAAAAAACTGAGGAACAGGGTGAAGTTAATGCTGACAAACAGTGCGCAGAAGAAGCTGCTGAATTAGAATCGACACAAGCCCAGGAAGAGGTACAAGAACATTACGTAATGGAAGATTCAGTATTTACAGATTGGAACAGATTCATGCAGAACTTAGAATATGATTGGGAAGAATTTAGAGTATACTTAAATAAGGCAAGAGCGAAGTTCATGGAACAAAAAAATAAAGAACACTCTAGATGGATTAACTTAGTTCTATGTAAATGGATTCATTATACTCAAATTTCAACAACAGGAGAGGATCCGCAAAATTTGAGAAAACGACATTTGAGCAATGTGGAATATAAGAAATGGTTTAATACAGAAATAAAACCCCAAATAGATGTACAATTGGACAAATGGTTTAACGACACCCATTTGAATTTATTTAAAATTCTCAAGAATAATATGATACAATTTAAAAACAAAAAAATCAAAGAATGGTTAATGTATCACTGGAAACAGAACGAAGGGTATTCTGGTTATGAATCGCTTGAACTTATGACAGCATCAGAATTCTTAAATTTGGTCAAGTCTCGAGAATGGTACCGTTCCAGTATAGACATGGATTATCAAGGACAGGAACTTACAAAATGGTTTCTCCCTAAAGAAAAAGAATATTTAAAACAGGAACAGTCAACCTGGGCACATTGGGAAAAAGATAAGTATGATGTAATTAATTCAATGTGTATAACACTTTCTGGAAAACGCCTAACACAAGAAGAATGGAATCAATTTGTTAATGAAATAAAAATTTGAATTAGAGAAAAAAGAAGAAATTATTCAATTATAAAATATATATATTAAGTTAAATTAATATGAACATTGTCTAAATTTTCAACCGTTCGTTAATTATAATATTAGAAAATATTTTCGTGTATTATTAATAATATATATGAATAAATCGCATTGTCCATTAATTTTTACTTATTAGAAAGTTGTTATTTGTTATTATGTGCACACCTTCCTTAATGTGTCCATATAATATATTTGTTGTTCGTTTTGGGACTGATGGATGCTGCAACAATTAATTTTCCATCTGATAGATTTAATTGTATGCGTTACCCAAATATACGATCATATTCTTTAATAATAAAGAAGATGAACAAATTTGTATTTGTATGATAATTAACACATCCTTTAATATTTGATTATTAATATAATAATAAATAGTGTATTTGTCCCCACACCTATTTATATACTCTTTTCCAATTTTTAAGAATGATAATGTCATTAAAAAAATAATGAATTAACTAATTAATTGGTCCTCAGAAAAGTCAGTCCTGTGTTGCAAAACTACAGGCATATGCTCTGCATCGGTTTCGGTGCAGTTACATACAGACCCCCAGTATTTATGTTATGGAAACATATAAGCGCAAAATTCTTCCCTATTCCGCAGCTTGTTCACTAGTTCTACTATTCACATTACTGCGTTAAAGCTGCCTGAGAACAAACGAGTGCGTGTATAATAGTGGCAAAATTCGGTATAGCAAGATCAAGAAATAAGGAGAACGATCACTTTCCCGAGGTGCACATATAATTACTTTTTTACAGCAATAATATGAGCGCTAAACCCGCCTAAACTCTTCAATCAATAACTTTTCCCTTTGTCTCTTTACCATGGGGGATCACTTGCTTTCTAGCAGCATTACTTTCTTTATGTGAACTAGACACATGTTAATACAGTTTTTTAAGCACTAATGAATATATATTCCCCATTTTTCCTTACTAATGGCACATTTCACATAACTACAGCTGTAGGTCATATAAATTGTGCAATATATGGTTTCCTAAATACTTAAAAAATATACGTTCATCCTCTGTTTCTCAAGAGTTAATTCATCGTTTGAAATCATAAAAACTTCATCCCTATAACAAATATGTTTAATTAAAATAATACTCCCACTAATGGGAAAAAACTTATTCTTCCAAAATTGCAAATACGCTTCCTGCTACATACACACATGATATATACACATATTGTTCGTACTGTCTTTGTATATGGTCCCTCCTTATTACATTTCATCTAGGATCTCCAATTGACCCAACTCAAATTATGGGGCAGTGAGCCAATGTAATAGCGCGGATGTTCAACAACACACAACTACAATGACGCAACATGGAAGATATAGAAGAACTACAATAAAGTCAAAATTGCCATTGTTCTAAAATGAGGCGAATAATGTATCTATGATAAGACATGTATTGTGATACTCTTAAAATTTATAATAGAAAGCATAATATGCAATGAGGGAGTACACCATCTATGTGTGCACCATTTGCGCGTGTGTCGTCTGGCCTGCAAATTTTCAGACATGACTAACAAAGGTGTATGAGTGCATACGCGACAGCTCGATCGCCGTTGAAACGTGAACTGTTCACTTGAAGCATCGGTGTAGGCTTCCCAAATGATAGAACCCTTAGTGCTAGATGTGTTTTGGTTTCCTGACAAAAAAGGTAAGACACGCTGCACGACCATATATGAGTACATGCTTACTTTTCTGTTACCCGTGACTTATTCCTCTATAACTTTAATTCGATTCATAAGGAAATGCCAAATATGCACATTCGTACAGAACTGTTCCTATGCTCACTGTTCCCTGACAAATTAACGCACAAATATTTCTTAAATCTACACAAAGCGCAATCGTGCCCTTTTAAATCAGTCCTATATTTTGAACCATGTAATATACCGTTTTTTGCAAATACAATATAGGCGTCATCGTTTTCAATAGAGCGCACAGCTTGTCAAAGATCGGTTACAACACCAGCTGCCTCCTGCTATTTTTTTCTAGTTGTTATACCTTATATGCTAATCTGATTCCGCAACATTAATAATGCGTGCTATATATTTGTTAACATAAGTCACTTACCAGGTGTCAAATAACTCCCCTCCACTTATAGTAAAAACCAGATATACAAGTCTTCGCCAAGTGCCCGTCCTGTGCATAATTAGTGAGCAATTTTTTAACACACTCTTGTTTGAAATGTTGCAGAGGTCACAGCAAGAACATATGTAATTGGTTTTCAAATTATGGAAAATCTCGGGGTACATGACAACTACCGGTGATCATGATGCACTCATTTACTATTTGCACGGGATGGCATAGCACGATGAAATTCAAGAATATCCAAAACTCTTTTCCTTATTCGAAGTACCATTGCAGCTGCTGTATTCTCATTCACTATAATACCACTAGTTTTCAACCTAGCATTCAGTGATATTCCTATAAGTTTCAAATTATTTAAAAGTTCATATATGCCTTGTTCTGTATGTTCTCTGGCAGCAGACTGAAATACTTCTATACTCTCGTCTAATTCCACCTTATAGGAGTCTAACTTGTATAAAATTATATCTTTATTCAACGGACTAATTGCGACTATTTCTTTAACAAACTGGGTTAATCTAGCCTGCATAGTTACTTTTCTATCTTCGGGAAAATGTGGCATCTCCACACGTAAACGTCGATTCAGCGAGTTCTTAACTAACTCTTCAATATTCACATGACCTGTTTGTTCATTCAAGCGTAATATCATGGCAGTGGCTATATCACCTGCAATCATTGATTCTACATGTAGTATTGCAGCAAGTTGCATAATTTCATCATCTGTAAGTGCGCAATCATAAGCACGTTTTAATGCTGCTCTTGAAGGATACCGTTGTGCAAGATTTCTTCCATTTGTCCTAGACACATATTCATTGCGGTCATGTACAGAAATATGCAATACTGTATCGAAAGAATTTTGGCTGTGTAATATCATTCGTGATAAATATGTTATTGATAAAATACAAATAAATCTATGCACTTTAATTATGTTCATAGTGTAACGTATATGATAGTACCCTTGGATTATTCTGTTCTTGTACAAAATCATTTGCTCCTAAGCGTACATAAAAGAATAAATCAAAAATTAAGCTAAATGTTGTTCCTTCCTTGCCGCTAAGAAGAGTCCTGAATACATGAAATTTATAACTTCAGTATATGGAACTCCTTGCTGCAATTTTCTGTGCCTCCTATAAGTGCAAAATTCGTTTCCTGTCCTTTTGCGAAAGATAGAACCAAAATAACTTGGAACTCCTCACACAGCTATTGTTTTTTCCGTCTTAAACTTGACAAATACTACGGTCTGATTTAATATTTTTTATTAGTAAATGAATACAATGTCTTATAAAAATTTGAACCTTATATATACCTTAAATTTTCAAATACACAAAATCTATTGATGTTGCATTTACGAACAAAATGTGTCATCACAAATAAAAATGGAAAAATGGCACTAACACACATAGTGCAAACAAGAATTAGAATGAACATATATAAACAACTTTGACAGAACTGAATGTAGCAGTTTCAGTTGTAATCCTCTAAAATACCAAGTTAGGAACAAATTTTCAAGCAACGTGAAAAAATGGGAACAGAATCCAGGTGATCCAAATGTAAGTTCACATAAATGAATGCACCATGTAATGACAGAAAAAATGAGATTGGAATAGTTATTTACGTTCTTTCGTTGCATATACATTTAAACCAAAATAAAAAGATGCAACAAAATACCTTTTATTCAAAGTATATTTTTGGTTTTTTCCTGTTCTAGCTCAAAATTTGTTATCAATTCAGGAATATATTCGTGCATTAAACCTATAAAACCTGCTGCATGAACATAATATTTATCAAAACCACTTAACATTTTTAAAATGCGTATTGTTTACCATGTATTAGAGCACAATAACGTTCCGTGTTTTGCTTATGCATTCCCCTAACGAGTAGTTTAGGCATGCACATGTATGTGTACAATGTATGGGAAAAAGGAATAATCTTGGTTGCAGCTATGCTATCTTTGATTCTATATTCATTTAAACTTACCCCGTCTGCTTATTCACCCTGCCATATATACAAAGTAACCATGTCGAGCATTTTCGCAAGTTTGTGACTAAAATTATATAACACAGAATATGTCTAAATTTACAAAGCCCAGTAATGGTATGCTGTTATCGCGACGACTTAATCCCACAGGCTCAGCTGCTGTGGGACCACATGAAGTGACATATGAACTGAAGCCAGATTAGCATGGACCCAGGAAGGATTGACCTCTTATAAAACACACATTTATCGCATAGGACTAAACGGAACCACATTCGCGATACTTCCCGTAGAAGCTATATAGCTCAAGCGCATAACTCAAAATTTTAAAACACGCAACATAGCAACATGCGTTTCCTATTCAGGTAAATCACCTTAAACAAGTGTAATAAAGTTAATTTAATTACTTCCATTTCTTAAAAAATGCGGCTTCCATAAGGAATAAAAAAAAAAAAAAATGTTGGTTCCATTTGTGGAACATTCATATGATCTCGCAATATTGTTGCTGCAGAAATTATCGCACAAAAATAAAGCGTAAAAGAACGAACAAATTTAGCATTTGCATTTGAAAAGCTCGTAGACTGATAAGAAAAAAAAAAAAAAAAAAAAAAAAAAAAAAAAAAAAAAAACACACACCAAAATAAATGGAATAACCTGTGTTAATAGTTTTGATGCTCACATGTTGCAGCATTTCTTTTTAAGGCATTCCCCTACGAAATTATAAGCAAAATGAAATTATAAAATACGTATACAGTTCCGTAAATAAAAATAAAACCAATTTTGTGACAAATAACAGCAAAACGGTTGAATGCGAAAGTTGCTTTTATATTATGTGCCCTGCTCTGTATTTCTTTATTTCCCTCTGTCTTGTTTTCCCCTTTTTATGTCCTCACTGGAACCTCATGAGGAACTTATTTATATTGTTGTAAACGCTGTGTCACATTTATGGATAATACTAAAGTGTTAAGCTTTTTTTTCTTTTTAAAAACCACTAAATACACAACGGTAAAATGCTCATGTAAATGCTTTAATCATGTATATGTAAAAATCATGAAAACAAAGTTTTCAATATTCTCATTCCTGTTGGTGGTAGGACCTTGCACATTATGAAAGAAGTTATTTTATTCTCTTTGTTAACGAAACAGTAGTATAAACCCATGCGCTGTGCAATAAACACCCTTGTGGCGCTTACAAAGTTATTCTTGTGCGCGCGGTGTAGGATACCAGAACATAAGAATTCTTGTCTTAACAGAAATAACGCTCATAAACACTTCTTTAAAAAATAAATGCGGAAAGGCATATACAATGCATATTATAGCATCATCGGCCACATATCATAATTCTCAAACACGTGTTATTAATAAAAACCTGTTGTAAACCCTAATTTTCTTTATGTGCAAACGATCCCACATAAAACAATTAAAACAGTGAACACACTTGTGAAAGAAAAATAAAAAAACAACAACTATGTATTTCAAAACGTGTTAAATGTTTCTCCATATGGGAGGTCTTTCAATATCGTGACATTTGGGGAATACACCTTTGGTAAATGTTCTGGACGAAAATTCATCATAAAATACAGGAGTAACATTAATTTACTGTGCACATACGTACATTTATTCACGCGCTACACTCTTTTTATGACCACTTTTCGCGTATTACTAATTATGCTTGTTGGAATGTGCACTAAAAATTGTGTATGACTCACGTTTCCCACAAGTAACGTGAACCACATGGAAAAATTGTATGGTCTGAAGACAGCAATTTTTGTAAGGTCAGAACTTACTCGTGTTCACAGTCTTGTACAGGCCTATGTAAAATGAATAACTGTCCTAAATAATTATTTGTGCACATATCAAAAAAAAAAAAATGCAATGGACCTACAGATTGTACACATACACATGTGTATACCATTAAAACGTCATCTACACCGCGCAACAAATTTTAATCCAGTGACTCAACTATGAACAATATTTTTACTGTCTAAAAAAAACATTCGAGGGGTACGTAAAACGCACAAAAAAATATATTTAAAGAAAAAACTCAAATCGTCATATATTCCCCCGTTGAGTATACGCACATATATATGTGTGTACACATTGAATTGTGTAATGTATTTCAACACATATCAAACATATAACGAGCGCCTGTTGCTCCGTTGTTTGCAAAATTGATGACTGTGCAAAGTGCTTACCCTTTCATTGGCTTTCCCAAATTGATAATGCGCAATTAATTACATATACGTCCAATTTGTTTGTGTCAACACATTTGGTATTTAATTTTTTGGCAAATAATTCATCCATGATATGTAATTTCCTTGTACGCAAAATAATAAGCAGTATCATGATAAAGTATATCTGTATTTATGCATGCGCGCGTGTATATATATAAGATTAATTCTTCACATTAAATTACAAATCGCCCGATTCGTGCGCGTGTTTCCCCCGTGCGTTTAAATTTTACGCATCAAAACACATTTCATTCAAAACGTCATGTACCCATGGGTTATCACACATGTATAATATAACAAAAACATAAAAATATATTTAAGTGTTAAAATCTGTTGGCCGCAATTGCGAATTTTTTTTGTCGTCCAAAGTTTTCCACCCTTTGGAATTGCTTTATTATACACATCGTATTATACAAAACTGATGCGTCATATAACGCCAAACATAATAATATATTACGTTGACATTTATTTTATATGAAACATTTTTAAAACACACCACAGCTCATTTTTAAACAAAACATTTTTTCTTTTTGTTTTTTTCCATAGTAATTACATATATATATATATGTATTAAAATTATATACTCAAAAATTCATGTGTCCAATATCCATGGCTAAATTTTGTTCTCATTTTTAATTTAAATGTAAAAAAAAAATTTTCTCAAGCTATAATTTCGTTCAAACGAATTTTATTATAATTATTACTTTACGTTAATTTTTACCAAACTCCTCGCGCAATCGCACAGTCACGCAGTCGCAAAATAGCACAACGCTCGATTGCGTGCTTTAACGAATATTCAGTTTTATGGAAATAATTTTTAGCATATTTAAACATTTTTGTTTTCCGCTGCCGCGTTACGGGCGCCTTCACACATATCGCTTTGTCCCTTGCACACTTTTACAATACTTTTTTTATGCCAATTTATATATAAGTACACATATACATATATATATATGTATTTATACATCCATAATTTATACTTATATGTAGGACCTGCCCCATTTTTATTGCAGTCATTTTGCTGCACATTTTAACATATGCCATGTGATTTTTTTTTTATTTATGTATACGTACACATATGTATGCGGCAATATGAAACACGCCCCCTGTATATTATTTTATACCATGCGAACATCTTTCTTGCAATTGCTGTATTAAGTTTTTTGCCAACACAAAATTACAAACTGAAAACAGAATAAATTAATATGCAAAAATACAAATTTTTGTTCAACTCCACAGAATTGCTACAGAACAATATTTGATATATTTCATTATCGTTTATGCTAAAGCGCGTTAAGTTTTAAATTAAACAAATTTTATTTCATACTTTACACATAATTTATCTGTAAGAAATACTTACTTAAAAAACTTACATTTTAACGTTAGCACATGTATGAGTATAACTGCGTAAAAACCAGAGTATTGCGATTACTCGGAAATACCGTATACTTTACACTCCCTTCTTTTTTTTTCTCTGTTTTTTTTTTTTTTGCGTATTTCATTTTATTATATTATTTTCTGTTTTTTCCATGTAAGTTTTTTAAAATAAAAATATAATACATTTTAATTTTAGCGTTAGATGCATTCATAGAAGTATACTTTCAGTGATACTTGTATGTGGTTAATTTGATTTATAAATAATCATCACTTCAGTACACCTTTCATGTTTTTGTTCCTAATTGGGACAGAAGCACATATATATTGAGAGAGTACTGACATTTTTTTTTTTATATATATAATCAAGCACGCAATTATTTCTCGTGCTTTGAAACAAGTGTAACGAT